AGGGGGGGGGGGGGGGGGGGGGGGGGGGGGATCAGTGTAACCGGGTTATGCACTGACCCCGATTGCCTGCTGCTGCTGCTGCCGAAATGCCAATGGCCAGCGGGCATTATTAATGGCACTCGGAGTGCACTTAGTTGTGGCAACAACTTTGATTTATTCATTGGACACCATCCCCACCTCACACAGCTCCTCCTCCTGCTACACTTCCTCCTCCTGCTGTCCTATTCATGCGGCATTCAACATTCAACTATTACAATTATTATTGATAGGCACAGAGTGAGTGAGAGAGAGAGAGAGAGAGGGAGAGAGAGAGACGAGCTGTGTATTAATTGTCTGCTTGTAGGCGAGACCTTGTTTGCTTTCACAGTTCCCATTTCATTAGTTGATGATCCCCTCTCGCTCCACATGGCAAATTAATTCATGCCCAAATTATAGACTCTATTGCAAGTGCTTCAGCAGAGGCTCTGCTACTTGTCCCAGTCAAGTTGAATGTGTCGAAAGAGTTTGGCATTTGGATAATATTTAAGCTCTGCAATGAATGAAAAGCGAATGCGAAGGTGAAGAATATCAGAGCTAGCTACAGCTAGTACAGGTACCCAGAAGTCTTACGGCAGTCCAGTGAATAAATCCAATCCAGAGAACAGAGTTGAGATAACAGGCAGAGAGAAAGAGGTGTCTCTTATGGTCTACTACAAGACCGAGACCTGGACTCAGCTCCAGACTAGGAAGTCTCACAGCTAGACAGTGAATAAATCCAATCCATTTGATTCTCGTCTCGTTTTATAAGTTCACCAGGTGCATGCTGATCAATTCTGTAAAAAGAGAATAGCATTGAGATTATAAAGAGTCAGAGAAAGAGAGAAATGGGAATAAATCGAATCCAGTTTCCATTTGATTCTCAGTTTACGAAGGGCAACCTCAGTTGCAGTTCAAGCAGCCTGTTTATTACTTCAATGGATAGCAAGCTCAGCACAACGGGAATAGAGAATAGAGAGAATCAGTGAAAGAAAGAGTTGAAGGGAAAAGCGAGTCTCTTATAGTTCACACCAAGACAGCTGGCAAAGCTCAATAAAAATATCGAAAATCAGAGCAAAGGCCAGGCAGTGAGTGTTGCCACATTGTTGAATTGCAACAGTATGGCCACGCTGTGTGTGCGTGTGCTTGGGTGTGCGTTGTGCAACACTGGACACGTACTAAGTAGCTCGCATTATGAACACGCTTTTGAGTCATAAAAATGCGTTGCCTGCGGGTCACGAGCGCTGCGAGAGGGGGCATGGGGCAGCTGGGGCGTGGCGGTGGCTGGGTAACAGGTAACGGTAATTGAAACAAAAGTTGAAGCCAAGGAACTGTAGCATACGTTGCGGCGCCTTAAAAACCCATTTCCAACTGTTGACACGTGCCGCGCCGTGCCGCGACCTGTAACCCCAAGCGCTCCCCACCCAGAACCCCCTCACACACACACACACACACACACACATCGCCCGTCGCACACATAGTCCCAGCTCAGCCCGTCTCTCTCACTCTCTCGCCCTCCCGCTCTCTGTCCTTTTCGCTCGCTAGGAAAATCACGCGGCCGCATGCGAAGTAAACAAACGTGAAATGAAAGTCATGCGTCGCATTTTAAAACACGCCGCTGGATGTCTCCCAGGACGTGGTCCCTGTGGGCAACAGCAAGCTGCCTAGCCGCGCCCACCTCCCCGCACGTCCACCTGGCCCCGCCAAGAGATGCGCATAATTTAAAATACAAATTTGCCACCCGCCGGTCGGAGTCGGTCGGAGCCGCCGAGAGATAGAGCTCAGTTCGGGGCGTTGCCAGCGCAATGCATTTGTAAATATGCCTCATTATTGTGCAAGCCACACACACACACAGACACACTCACAGCCCACCTGGGCGCCCAGCCTCTCTCTCGCCTTGCCTTTGCCTCATCATTTGTCACGTCGCATGTTTCGGGGTCTCGTGCAGCGCGAACGGAAATGGCAACAAAGTACAAAACAATTTAATAAATGCCGGAATCACGTGAAGGTGTTAAGCAAAACATTTGCGGCAATGACCACACTGAAACCGACACGAATCTCCATCAAATTGAAACACACACAGGCACACACACACACACACGCACACGTGCACGCTCATGTGTTTGCCCAAAAATGACAGCAAGTACTCAAAAGGAAACGCAACTGTACCCAAGACATGCAGGCGAACCTCATTAGCTGCGCCGCGTGGAATTTGCAAACAAGATTTCATTTCATTTTCGTGACGTGCCGGGAAATGCAGAGTCCCGTTCAATTGCAAATTCCATTCCAACCTGCCTGCTCTGCTCTGCTCTCTCACACACTATCAACGGCCTCTACACGAAAGTCGAGGCGTTTCTCTTCCACTTATTCCAGTCTGCACTACTCGGGAGCCTAGGGGCTTCTACTTGCCGCTCGATTGCAAATTCCCTTCCAGCCTGTCTGCTCTATTCTGAGGACACACACTTGCAAAGAGCTCCACTCTTCTACACACCATCAAGGTCGAGACAGTTCTTCTTCCAGTTATTCCAGCCTGTCTGCTCTACTCTCACACACACACATAATATCAGACAGCTCTTCTATTCCGCACTCGATTTGGAAATATAATTTCAGGCTGCACTACTCTACTTACTTACACACTCCTGCTAACAGGTCAACTCTACCTTCTCACACACACACGCACACACACACACTATCAAAGAGCACCACTCGAAAGTCGCCAAGTCATTCCAGCATGTCTGCTCTGCGCTGCTCTCGCACATACTATCAAACAGCTCTACTTTGTCACACACACACACACACTATCAAACAGCTCTACTTTGTCCTACACACACACATACACACACTATCAAACAGCTCTGCTCTGTCACACACACTTTCAAAAAGCTCTACACAAGAGAGCATGTTGGCCCGCTCAATTGTAAATTTCTTTCCAGCCAGCTCTACTCTCTCTCTCACACACTTTCTCTCTCTCCCTCTCAAGAAATCAAATTCGGTTGGCTCTTATAACTTTATTAATTCCAGTGAAAAAGCTGCGCTTGCTCAGCTCGAACAATAAGTTAGGCCAATCATTCCTGCTGCAGATCCAAGATCCTAGATATCACGGCTAGTGCCGGAGGTACCCAACAGTACCAGCTCATATTCGGCTATGGCCGCCTCCATCTCATCTATGTCCTCGTCAGTGACCGAAGCCGACGGCTCTGGTGGCGGCAGTGCCGGCTGTGGTGGCGGTGGCGGCGGTGGTGCCGGCTGCTGCTGCGGCGGTGGCGGTGGTGGCGGCGGCAGCGGCAACGGCAGCGGCAACGATGCGCTGCGAGGGTCATCTTCAGTCTCTGCGCACCACGGATGTACGGCGTACTCCGCCAGATACGGACAATTCTCGGGCCCGTCCTCGTAGCAGATGTCGCACATGCGATAGGGGTTCTCGCAGAGTTCGTCCGAAATGGGCAAGCAACGCAACTTAATTGCCAGAAATTTGGTATATATTAGAGAAAACCCCTTCTTCGCCACACTAAACTTACCATATTGTCCAATAGGGAATCCATCTTGAAAGTCAAGTCGAGAAAGCAAATTTTTTCCTTACTTTCCAGCAAACTCACAGTTTGTAAGACGAACGTCAAGCACAAACTGAAACTGAAAATTCTGGAAAGCGTCTTTAGTGCTATCGGTTATCGAAATAGCAGCAGTGTAGTGTAGATCAATGCTTCTAAATGCCATAGGCCAGGGCTACCAACTGAACAGGCCAGAAAAAAGCTAACTCCCGAAAGAAAAGCTAATTTGATGTGAACTGTGATTTTTTATTGTTCTCTATCGATCTATCGATCTATTGATCTCTAGGGAGTCGCAATACGTTTCCAATCATTTCGCTCACTTGAGCACTCTCGCTAGCTCTCATTTGGCCTACCCAATAGCATAGCTTTGCCTTGCCATATTAGGATATGCATTTCCCTACATAAATGGGATCGATTGTTAATGGCTCTGCAATTCCTTGTTTGTGCAGGGTTATGGACTGAGTACAGTCACGGCGATAGTGTAAAGCTTAGGATTGGCAATCATGAATTAATGCGATTTGGATTGTAAATTAAATTAAATTATAATTATATTACAATTAAAAATTATTGTAGGAATGGGAATATCACTCTCTCTGCCATCGTTATGTATATGTTCGATCTTACTAACTGAGCCAATAAGAAAAAGAAGAAGAAGCGCAGCAAGTTGCTTTCGTATCGAATGAACAATAATAATAGAAAAAAAAATTTAAAAAATTATAATAA